GGGGGAGGGGGAAAGATCTTCTATTAGCAGAAGTTATATCAACACCCACAGTATCTGATCTAGTATTAAAGGAATGTGAGCCAGGTAAGTGGGAATTCAGATCCTCAAGCTTGATTGACATATAGGTTTAAAAAAAGTGAAAAAGGGTGGCAGGGGGAGTGAAAATGCATAACATTACATCCAGTGAAAAATGAATAATGCCAAAGGCAGGAATATTATAAAACCCTCTCTTCAAATTATTGCTTTGTGGAGGAAGGTAAGTTCTCGTCAGAATTATTCAGGGTCACAATCTCATGAAAATTGCAGACTTCATTCCCATAATATGGATCATTTTCTAGTGTTTAATTAGTATATTGCAAATGTTAATGGATGGGGTTATACTAAGTGAAGTGGACACATTAGCAAGGATAGGCAGCAATTTGCTGTTTTGTTGTTTAAAGTACAGCATGTAAAAACAAAAGCTTCGTGGGGCACTTGGTCTTGTATGAATTTTTAAGAAGAAGCTGATACAAAGAGATTGATCCTTTTGAGAAACCTAGACCATTCGGTCTAGATACTGACTTTCTTACGGATTCCTATTTAGAAATCAAGTAAGGTGGCAGAGACATTTACAAGTATTGATCTTACAACTTACCATGGTGTACTTCTGATTCACTAAACAAACGTGGCTAAAAGCAATGCACAGGCTCTGGCAGAAACACGTAACCTGCAAGGCAGAGAGTGCTGCTCTTTAACAGACAGCATCATATTGATTCACCGCTACAGGGATAAGGGGGTATAGTTTACTCCCTGCTGGGCATTTATTTATAAGGGGGTACAGTTTACTCCCTGCTGGGCCTAAGGTGGTATTTGCAATGAACGGAGGGACGCATAGAGGGATGCATAGTCAGATGGCAGTAATTCTGCCACTGTGCTGCTGAGGTTCAACCATTGGAGAGCAGCTTTTATTTTCATCTTGGGCTCCCTAGGACCCCAACACACAGAACTCCACTATCAAAAGTTGCCTGGGAATGTACTGAATCAGTGATGTAACTGATTAATCTGCACACAGGACACTGTTATTATAATTGATGCATCAGGTCATAGAACTTCTCCCTTTGATGTAAAAGGTCAGTTTCCCTGTCCTATCATCTGCATTCCTCCTGACTGGCTATATGGTTTACTTCTAACAGAACTTTCATCACTTAAATTTCTGCAAATATATGTCTGAAAGCAAAGCACATATACAGGAACTAGTGGTGACCTGATTGACCCTTAGTTGATCATATCACACTCTCTGCAATAAATATGTGCAACTTTCATTTAATTTCATCTTTGTTTTTGTCAGTCATGGTTGCAAAATCCATGGACTGTTAAACTGGGAAGGTTTAAATAAGGTAAAAAGGTAAAAATAAGCAGTGACATAACTATCTGAGCCAGGAAGAATAACTGATTGCTTCTGGAGTTTAAACATTGTAATATTTAACACACAGGCACTCGATCCGGAAACTGTGCATGCACTTAGCAGGCTCAGGTGGTTGGCTATTTTTAGCAGGGCGGTTCTCTAAAAATCTGGAAGCAAATTAGAAAACAAATGCGTAGTAAATAAACAAACAAACAAACCAACAGGCAGGAGCCACTGAAATGGGAGTTGTGCAAAAAGTTGAGTAAACCAGAGAAATAGCTCCTACAATAAGGGTCCAGTCCTGAGAGGTCCAGAGAACCCCCAACTCCCATTACAGTAAATGGGAGGTCAGAGTGTTTAGCATTGCATCAGAGGTGGTCACCGTCACACTTTGTGTGTCTAATTGTTCCCTGAGGAGCAATTGCAGTCAGGAGCTAAAGATCCAGGTTATGTTCAGTTAGGTTCTAGGTACAATAAGATTAACTGCTCTTTTCATTTTAAATGCAATTGTGATGCTTTGCACTAAGTGGACCAGATTTTCAAAGTGACCAGCACCTGCAGTTAGAGCCAGATTTCCAAAAGAGGTCAGCATTCAGTGTCCTGAATCTTCTGAGAATCTGGTCACTTATTTTGGTGCCTAAATGAGAGCGGAGCTTTTTTGAAAATCTGTCCTATGAATTCTATCCTGCCCCAATCTCCACTTATGTTTACAGCTGGTTGGGAAACTATTTTCCTGTGAAAATTTTTAACAAAAATTTAAAGAATCTTTTTGATTTTTTTCAGGCTTTTGAAGATGTACACAAAGTCCTGGAAGGCAGGGTCAAGTTCTACAACTAGTGCATGATCAAAAGGTTGTACAATTCCCTATTTTTCTAAGTCAAATTAAATTAATGTGGGGGTAAAAATCCTAAAACATTTCCTTTTTGGTTTACAAACCTTTTACTTAAATCCTCAGGTCTTTATTCACTACACTTGAAATTTTGCCCATGTAAGGACTGAATAAAATGGAGTAAGGAGTTCAGGATGTGATCCACAGATTGCAATGTGCACAACTGTGACATGCACACAAATATTTATAAAAGGCTTTCATTTCAAAAGGGGGTGGAAGAGCACCTTTAAATATAACCAAGAATAATACAGTCATCAATGTGTTTTCCACACATTGAGTCAGCTTTCTCACCTCAAAAAAATCTTTCAAATGGAGTGAAATATTCCAATTTAGTAATTGATGTTAGAGCAAAAATAGAACAAAACTCAAGAAAAGTATATTGCATTTGGCAAAATGCAAGCAATGAAACAGTTGCTAAAGAATGTTCCAAATAAAGAACACTGCCCTTCCTTCTCTTATACCCTCAATATTATGTGCAAATTCCCTCGGGGGGGTGGAGATGGGGGGGAATAAAGAGATGTCATTGTGGTTTCACAATAGTTATGAATGCTCATGGAAGGCTAACACTCCCCCACCCAATCTGTTTTATAGAGAGAGACAGAAAGAGTGCTCATTGGTATTCAATAACTTTGCAAGCAGTAAATTTAGTTCTCAACACTTTTGTGTATATAATTTTTTGAGCATCCCTCCTTCTCCTACAAAGAACCTGGTGACAGAGAGTGAGAGCTGTCCACACACTTTCTCTGACATGAGAATTAATGGCCATGTTAGTTTTTAATTTTAAATTTCAGTTCAGTGGCCTGCCACCTTGGGGTGAAAAAAGGTCATGAATGAGGAAATGAATGGTCTAGTGGTCTGAAAACAGAACAGGACCCAGGGACTCTGACACATACTCACTCTTAGCATTTACCATTTAACCTCTCTGCCTCAGTATCTCCTCCTAAAAAAGGGAGTCACTTTAATTACCTATTTCACAGGTTGTATGTTTGTAAAGCCCATAGAAGGATGAAAAACATTATATAAGCAGTGTTCCTGTGCACATATTAAATATGTTAATATTCCTTCCACAAAGTCCTCCTGGAGCATTGCCCATTTTTCCTCCTTCATTACCACCAACTTCAAAAGGCACATCGTGATATCGGTAATCTCACCTGGAGAAGAGCTAGATGCTGGCGTCTGCAGCACTCCAAGTCTTTGCTCTTTCCACAGCCAGAAAAGTGAGAGAACAGCAAGCAGTGTGTTAGAAGCTGGGCTGGCTGTTTCTCAATATCTATTTTAACAGCTTTGCTGTGTTTCTCCATTTAAAATGATGGACAGTAATGAGAATCACGAGCTGTGGTGATGATTCTCAGAATAACTCAGAGGGCCAAATCTCACTCACCTTACTCACGTGAACAGTTTCATCGAACTCAAGGGGGTTACTTCTGTGACTAAGGTAAGCAGGATTTGGCCCATAAAAGAAACTGATATAATAGGAGGCAGGAATACATCTCAGCTATGTAAAACTATAGACTCTGGTCCCAGTCTAGCGAAGACCAGAGAGTAGGCCTATTGAAGTCCATGGGACTACTTACGGGCATAAAATTAAGTAGAAACATGAGCCTTTGTAGGATCAGGACTAAAGAGAATATTTTTCTAGGTTTTCTGTTTTTGTTTGCTTTTTCAGCAATCTAATTTTGAAAAGTAGGGGGAATAGAGCAGTTATTTCAGACAGCATAAAGCAATCTGGGGTGAAGCTTAGGGCCATCAGCTCTAAGTTCAATCATCATGAAAGATAATGGGAACTGAGTATGCACCTGATGGCAAAACTTAGTTCTTAGAATGGAAACATGGCTACAGTGCTATGAAAATGTAATTATATTTATGGCTGGATCAAGCAGGCAATCACCAGTTGAATCTTGGATGGTTGGCCTTTCCTACTGCTTCAGCCTTAGAGCTGGATATGATGGAGATACAAGGAGCAGTTCAAAACTATGCTGCTTGCAAGAGCAGCAAGAAGCACCAGAACCCCCTAGCAGCTAGTCAGTCCAGAATGTAAATGGTATCTAGGTGGAAACTAGGGTGAACTCAAATTTAGAGTTACAGTTGAGGAACGTGTGGGAGTCTTTCCCCACCCCCACCAACTAGACTATAAACTCTTTCATAGGCCTTGATCCTGCAATTGATAGTGCACGGGCAATGGGACTGTGTGGGTGAAACAGTCCACTTGCAGAATCAGAGACTTGTCAACTTTTTAGGAGATGGACCTTGTCTTCCTTTGTGATTGTACTGAATCTAGCACAATGGACCCCCCTTGGCTATTAATAATAGATAAACAGTAATAATAATGGTTAACCCTATAAATACTGTGCTTAAATTAGAGAACATGGACAATTTATGTTGACAATATTGCTTAGGGAAACAGCAAGATTCGTACAAACACGAAAGGACAACGTACAAGAAACAACACGCTGCTTCCCTTTATACAGATACTTTCAACCACATTCAAAAAAATTCATAACAATGGAATGGAACTAGCTTTGATTCTGCCAAGTAGCCTGCCTTGACAAGCTATACTTTTTCTGATGTTGCTGCTCAAAAATTCAAAGGCATATTGTGTTTGGACGAAAAATAAATAAAATATAATGTCTGAATCACAATAACAGGCAAAAAATAAAAAAATCTTACCTGCTTTTACAAAATGGGTGAGAGGGTCTCATTATAAAGGAATTAAATTGCAATAATTACCTTGGCATGTAAAGGACTCGCTCTGCCACCACAAACCCCACCCTGAAGAAGAGGTTGCTGGCTGGGATAAATGGGAAAACCAGGAACAACAAGCCAACTAAAACTTCTCTATGTTCCAGTTTCTGCAACAACACAATAGTGAAACACATGTGAATGAAAAAGAAATCCAACTTCCAATCAACATTAAGTTGCCCCTCTTCCATTTTCAGATTTTTATTAATGAAATAAATTAATCAGATTAATGACTGATCAATATACTGCATTGAAAACAGCAATTATTCCACACTGCAGTTCCTCTGCATTTACATATTGTTTGTGTATTGTACATCTGACATACACATAACACATGTTTATTGTTTGAATTACACAAGCATCAGATACAACACAGTGTGTATTACTCGGGGCAACTTTTCTGAGGTCAGTTTTACTGTACATAGATACTTAAGATTGTAACTATCTGAGGTAATTTACAGGCAATCTGCAACTGAAGTATTACATATAAAAATAGTGTGGGTGTACACACAGACACACATGTCTGTGTTCAGTCTCAAGTCTTTACAATTAAGAAGCAGCAGCTAAATCTGTGATGTTCTATATGAAGAAAATTAACTAAAAACTGCACATTAATATAGTCTTTTTATCCCTTTGTAGAAAATATCTAAAATTTAAATTATACTTTATCACACAAGATACTTATGTCCAATACAGTGTTCAACATTTGAGGCATTCCGTACATTAATATATAATGTCTTTGGTCCATATTGCTGTTTATAATGTTTGCTTGCTATGAGAGGAGAAATGAAATTGTCACGTGATTTTGTCAAAACTATTGTGATTTGCACAGCTGCTCCAAATATTGCCAGTCTGCAAAGGCCTCAGTCCTCATCTGGAGGGACCACAGCCTTTAGAGATGAAAGCTAATTCCATTTCTCTACTAGCTCCAGTCCAACTGGATGAATCAGTTTGTAATGTCTGCTGTTGCTCATTACAGATCAAATTAAGGTAATCAAACTCACCATTTAAAACCTGAGAATTTAGGTTTCTTTAGATGAAAGAACAGCATTTAGTTTGTTAAATCATCCAGCCTAGACATTTGTGCTTTCTTGTGCTGGCCAATAATACCCTAGTTTAATCAGTCGTTGTTGTACCGTACCTAAATGATGGGAAATTCATTTTGAGAGGTCTAGCTTTGTAACATTTAAAGGCAGATGCAAATTGACTCACTTAATCTTTTCGGCTTTTCTAATCATTTTGGTCTATTTCTCAGTGCTGGAGAGCCTATTTGCCTTACAAAGCTTTACATGAAGGGATCTAAAAATGGAAATATCAAACAAGGCATAGGTAGCAGCATGCAGCCCAGCAAAAGACATAAGGCCAAATTCTGCTCTCACTGACACCAGTGCAATATGCTTTGGCACTGCACTACTGTAACAGACATTGGTCCACAGCATAACAGTAACTGCTAGATTTCACCACATATGCATTATAAGTATCTTTATTGAGTGTATAACACTTGCAGAGCTACAAATAAATTGACTGCAACGGTTCCTTATGTTAAGTGCCTAAGCTCCCATATACAACAATACTAGCAAGTAGAAGTAAACACCACATCAAGCACAATACTGATTACACTTCCCACAGACTCTACCTTTTACAAAAAATTTAGATTCATGAAATTTGCAGTTACCACACTTCGCAAAACTGGTGAGAAATCTCTGAAGAAAGAACCCCCACAGGACTAGCATGGATTGTGCAATGCAGGAGGAAAAAAATACTGTCTAAATAAGTAACCAAGAGGAAGATGAGGAGTCTGAATTATACACTTTTCCTTGCCACAGATGCAAGAGAAAGCAGTACAATATCACTACTTTTAAAAAAAAAAATCAAGTTTTTTTGTAAAATTTTTCATATTAGAAAAAAGTCCATTTATCAACAATAAAACTTTTTGTTTGAAAAACGCCAACCAGCAGCAGTTGCCACAAGGATGTTGTACAATCAAAAATGGGAGGGGAAGTGACTGTGCAGTTGTCCACAGGATGGAAGGTGGTCCATGAGAACCTCTCCATCAAGATTTTTCAATTATGAAAAACGTTTGAGAACCACTGAATTAAGGTTCGCAACTTGGTTGTAGGGAAGGGAAATCTTGTTATCCTCATTGAACAGATAAGACACAGAGAGGTGAAGTGACTTGCCCAGGTTCAGAAAGGAAGCCAAAGGCAAATTTCAGAGTACAACTCATATCCCTGGCCTCAGCTGTAAAAATAATCTCTAAAAACTAAATGCACACTCATCTTACCCTCTCTTTAATACACTTAAACAGACACCACCACCATCCTGAAAGAACTTTGCATAGGGCCCACAATAAAACATTATGAATTTTCTTTGCAGCAAAGTAAGATAGACTGTTCACAGAGCTCAGACTGAGATCAGTCCATAAAGTTGATGAACAAAGAGATGTATTGTAAGGACATGGAATTACAAGAACAATCGAATTCCATTCAAACCACAGGAAGAAGAAAACAAATAAATCAAACGTACGTTGAACCGAAAAGGTTAAGAGACATAAATCAGTTAGGCTGAAGTGGGGGATCTAATCTCCTCACTTCTCTGTATAAAGTATCGCAGCACTATCCAGATGCCACAGAGCCTTGGTCAGGGCCGGCTCTAGGCACCAGCCAAACAAGCTGGTGCTTGGGGCGGCACATTTTTAGGGGCGGCATGGCCGGTGCCAGAATGCCGCCCCTAAAAATGTGCCGCGGCCGCCCTAGCTCACCTCCGCTGCTGCCTGGGAGGGAGGGGGAGATCCCGAGCGGCCGCGGCGCGCGAAACAGCTGTTTCGCGCG